CTACTAGGGGCTCCTGGCCGTGAGGAACAAGAAGCTACTAGGAGCAATGGCATCGCTACTAGGAGCAAGAAGCTACTAGGGGCTCCTGGCCGTGAGGAACAAGAAGCTACTAGGAGCAATGGCCAGAGTGGAGAGTGAGTCGTCTCCGGAAATTCGAAGAAATGAGTCCTCTGGACTCCCCCTGTGCTTCCGGCGGTTGCCGGTCCTCCGATGTTTGCCGGGTGAACTTCCCTCCCGTATAGTACCTCACCGGGCGAACAAAGAGGGATGTGCTTCCAATTTTCAATAAATATCTCTTCACTTCTAGCTACTGGTAACAAGAAGCTACTAGTAGGTCTTTGAAGCTTCCTAGTAACTAGAAGCTACTAGGAGCACGGACGCTACTAGGTTGGAGGCCATCGCTACTAGTAACAAGGTGCTTCAGAAACGCTCACTCTTCCAAGTGCTTCAGCAGCCGCTTCTTGGATTCCTCGTTTCGGCCGAGAATGAGGTTACAAAACACGGAAGGCACAACGGAGGACAACGGAGCCGGCGAACACTAGGGTCTCGGCTACCGAACTGCGATTGCTGCATTTGCTTGCAAGGGACCCCCTGCACCACTTCGCTTTGGAGTGTCAAAAAATATCCCAAAACGATGATAGAAAGCTTGTGAGCACACGCCGATACTTGCAAGACGGTCAATACTTGCAAGACTGTCTCGAAGCCTGAAGGTGTTAGACCTTTCGAACTCTGGCCTTGCGTCACCTCGGCAAATCAAGGGGTGGAGTTGAGTTCTCTTGTTTACTACCACGTTGGACTGAACTAGGAATCCCTTGATGCTTCCCCACTAACAATGCTATTCTGCTATTCCACTTCCCTTTTCTGACAGAAAGGCCAGGAGGTCGTCCCAGCCACTTACTTTGAGCCCTTCGCCCCATTGATCCTGAATTCTGACTCCAGAGGCATTGGTGCCTGGCAATGATGGATCCCCCGAGAGCGGAAGAGTGTTTGAGTGCTCACATTGGCCAATACTGGCACCAGTCGTTGAACCTGCTGGCTGCCAGTTCCGTCTTATTTCTCTTCATTTTCTCCTTGACCTTCGTGCTGTGTTGTTCAAATGTCGCCTGGAACAACTATGATATCAATGAACACAAAGAAGTTGATATCTAGAACATGTCGCTCCAATAAGTTTTTTACTAATGATGATGCTAAGCAAGCCTCGCCTTGCGAGAAATTGTACAAATCAAAAAGAAACTAGAACTCTTAAAGGCCTGCTTGTTTTTCTCTGTCTCTGCGCCCTCCACCATCAAAACCCTCAGCTGATTTACTCACACACTCGCAGACTCTCCACTCTTGGCACCTATAGTTCCTGCAGATTCTATAGATCCTCCAGATGCTGCAGATTCGCGGGGGACTTCTGACTCGCCTCCCAAAGCAGTCGAAACTTCAACAACATGTTCTTTGCCAAAAATATGTGTATCAAAATTTCTGACTCTCCGATTCCTAAGGCTGAAACCAGGCATGCAGCTACTAGTTGGACCTCAAAGCAGCCTTGGAAAACATTATTTGGACAAAAACACTGTGTGCATGTAGCTAAATGAGTTGGTAGACCTTGCCCTACTTAGCGCAAATGAACCAAGGTTTGCAACTCAACAGCAAGTAGCAGCTGAATTGACTGGGATCTTGGAGGAGTGAGGAGAAGCTGGGGAGCAAACATGGAAGCAGGAACTAGGGTCCAGGAGCTGGGGGGCAAGAAGAAGGAAAACCCATCAAAACTGCAAACATGTTGTTCCCAGCGCAAAAGCGTGTTGCTAAGTACACACAAACACCGGCCGCACTGCTGTAGCTCCCTGGTTCTTTGCTTAATGGCCAATATGGATGCCCCGGGCTCCTCCCTCGATGGGCACGGAGACAGAAAGCACTGCACAAGTGCAACGGCACAGAAATGTCCTGCTAGGTCTGCGCAACTGCCTGTGGCCTTGCTGCGAATCAAGAATGTGTCCCAACTGGGATACAAGGCAAACCACAAGTCTTGTGGAAAAAACTCTTTCGGGCACTCATCCCGCCAGGCACGTGCAAATGGTTGGGGCCTTGCTGCACTTGCAGCATGTTTTGCGCTACACAGAAACGTTGCTTCGTGGCCGGCAATGCGCGCAAAAACTCATGTTGCAGTTGCAAACACAGCCTGCTAGGTATGTGGCACGGTATGTGGCCCTGCCGCGTGTAAAGCAGTGAGTCGTAAGAACACTCCGCAACGGAGACACGCGCACGCGCAACAAAGGCGCGTTACTGAGCACGCACCGGTCCATGCTTTGTACTGCGTGCAAAGGACGCTCTGCGCTACCACGATATGCGGAACTACTTTACTGTCAGGCACTGCTCTGCGCTCGTTGCGTTCCACTGCGATTGAACTGACACCGAGGTCATCAAGCCAACGATTTGCGCAGTCAGCCTGCGCAGATTCAGTGGTCGCCACTCACCCTGTCCACGCTGAGAAGTTGTTGCTTCAAGCTCGGCTGGAGCGATTGAAGCCGACAGGGCCCAAGGCCATTGACAACGCCTGACCTGACAGTAATCAAAGCTCCAAGGTGGAAGCCAGCATCCATGCTTACAACGTGGAAGCCCAATCACAGCACCTTACAGAATCTGGTCAGGCGGAAGCCCGATCAACCTGACCAAGTAGCGCCTAGGTTCCCTGGTGGATATCCCAGCGCCCACAGTTCCAAGGTGGCCGATCACGAAGATTGCAAGGTTTCAGTGCAGCCCAGGGTTCGGCTTTCTGCTGCCGGAACCCCCTGTCTCCCGCTGGGCCAAGACAATAAACACAGCCACCAAAGAAACGCCTCCGCCCTTATTGTCTCCACCTGACAGCACCCAGAGTTCCAAGGTTCAAGGGTTCCAAGGCAGCACTCTGAACACAAAGGCTTCGGGGGACTTTGGGCGCCGACAAACTGCATCGCTCCCGGGAATTAAGATGTCGTGGATGGGAATGGTTGCAAACAACAAGGACGTTCCAAGAAAGCAGGTGTGAGAGCCTCTGCAAATGCGCCTCAGCTTGATGTGCCTTCATGAGGTCACTTCAAATCCCCCCGTCAACTCAAAAAAATACCTTCGACATATTGCACAGTGCATTCCAGGCTTTAGACAAAAAAAAAAACACTACCTTTCTCACAACTGTTGGGCATCCCTGCCCAGTCATCAACATGGAGGTGGCTCAAAAGCAGCATGGGCATCACATTCAACACCCGCCGCATGCTTTTTCTTGAGCCCAAAGGTCCAGTCCACGACGCTAGTGGGGAGGCCATCGCTGTTACGTTCTTATTTGGTGCTTTAAAGAAAAAGAAAAGCAAAAAAACGCCGCAAACCGCAGCGAATCTTGCTCAGCAGCTCGCCAGCGACATGTACGTCTCAACTTTTTCTTGCGAAGCGACGCGTCTCACGCGTCTTCTCCAGATACACTTCTTTTTGCTGACTACACACGCCTTGGAAGATCTCATCATGTGGAAGGATTTGTTTTTTGTCATCTTTTTTCATGTCTTTTTTCATGTGTCTCATGATGACTCATGGTGACTACTGGGAACAGCCTTTCCTTTCAACGCTTTCCACAAGGCGCCACTTGCCCTTCAGGACCATCTAGGCGCTAAATTGTGGCGGCAGCGTGCCTGAGTCGAGCATTTAGGCGTCGTGAACTTTGCAAGATCCAACAGAAAAAGAGAAGAATATCAGAAGGTGTGCGTTCCCCATCGAATAAGGCCCTCTTTAAAGGGGCCTGCGGCCTTACTGAAGAGGCCCAAGCACTTGTTCTTTGTGTCTGATGTTTTCCCCTTGTATATGCACTTCTTCGCTGAGCTGTTCATGCGTTGTTCCCTAGCGCTGGACTGATGGACATCGCTGGCAGTTGGTAGGCATCCATCTTCACACCCTCACAGTCACTGTCATCACCAGTGTGAAAAATAAGACAAGTGATTCTAAAAAAAAAGACAGGAACAAGAAGCTACTAGGAGCAAGAAGCTACTAGGGGCTCCTGGCCTTACTACTAGGAGCAAGGACGCTACTAGGGGCTCCTGGCCTCGCTACTAGGAGCAAGGACGCAGTACAAACAGTGATTTGGCTCGGCAAACTGTTCGGATCTGTGAAAAACGGCCTGGCAGCTCAGCTCCACCTTCTCCATGAGGGTAAGGTTTCGAGCATAGGCAAACTTCAAGCTGGCACCATCCTGTGAATTCGTGCACTAAAAAGTAAAGAAATCGACACTTGCTTAAGTTTAAGTGCAAAGAAACGGATGAAAGGGCAAAAGGAACAAAATGATATCTTAATCATCGTTCGACTGTTTTGACTGTGGGGAGAAATATGAAAAGTTCGTACTCCCGGCCAGCCTCAATGCCACACTGAGCTAATCGCTTCCTGAGAAATATGAGATCCCGAAGCTTCTTGTCCCTAGTACGGTCAGGAGCCCCTAGTAGCGTCCTTACTCTTCGTAGCGATGAGAAACTTGTCGTTCCTCTAAGCACGTTGTCACGTTGTCACAGAACTTGCTCTCCAAGTAACTTGTTCTCCAAGTAGTCCGCGGACCCTTTGGCAGAGAGGAGAGCTGTGTTCGCCCAGTCCTGACTCAAATCTCTTCTTACGGAACAGTTCATATAAGGGCGTGGGCCAAAAGAATCTTCACAGGGCAAATGTGAAGAAAGAAGATATCAAAACAAAGAAATGTACTAGGAGCAAGAAGCTACTAGGGGCTCCTGGCATCGCTACTAGGAGCAAGGACGCCACTAGGGGCTTGAAATTCGGGATAGAACAATGCATGATCCCGCTCCGGAGGGCTATGCAGTGCAATGATCTTTTGCTTCACAGCCTGTGGAGCAGCTGTAGCAAGTCTAGCAATGAGCATTGATGGATTTTGCGACACCGAAAACAAACGGAAGTGAGCCAAACGACATGTCAGCCATGCAGCAAAATAGAACAAAATGAACTTCATAGAACGAAAAGAGCGAAACGAAACAGAACGGAAGGGCGTAACAGAAGCGTGGACTCCTGGCCTTACTACTAGGAGCAAGGGCATCGCTACTAGGAGCAAGGACGTGCCAAGTGATTGGCCCTTGCTAATCACCCTTTGGGCCAATCGTGACTGCCTCACCTTCACCGTGTCTGATGGCTGCACATCCAGCAAAGCGCTCTTGCCTAGTGTGACCAAAATGCAGAAGACTACCCAAGAACAAAGAGTTCCTACTTTTTTTTGAGAGACTTGACCTTTCTTTGCTTTTCTCTTGCGGTTTTAGATGTTTTCTTTGGACCTTCAATTTAGACCTTTTTTTGGTTTCTTGCGTTCAGTCGCAAATTGGGTCTCTCGGTTCCTTCTTCAACGGAGATTTGTCAAGCTCCGCGCTGGCATCAGCGCTGTAGAAGACCTTGATTTGCATTGCCTGGCAGTGCTATGAGCTACCACACGCTACCACGTTCTCTGTTCTGTCTGGCAAATGTTCTGCTTGCTTTTTTGTCGGTGCCTTTGTTGCTAATAAAATTCAAGTGGCCAAAGGTAAAAGAAGCTCATAAGGAGGAGAAACACAAAGAGAACAGTCAGCTCTTGCAAGAGCAATTAGGAAGTCGTGTTGCTCCCAGCCTCAACACGCAAAAAGAAATGCCAGTTCGTAGATGAACCCCACCGGGGTCTGAGCCGATAAGACCAGCGCAGGGGCGCAGGGGTCTGTTTGCAGCGGCGCTTGTGGTCCACCAAGAAGCTCTCCGATCTCCAAGCAACACAGCAGCTCTCCATTTTGCGGTTCATGTACACGTGTATGTAGTTTCTGTTGGCACAAGCCGTCTCTAAACATCCAAACAAGTGGATAAGTCAACAGTCAATTTAGAATTCAAACTTTTGACAGCTTCGGCCGGTCTGCAAAGACCTCCCCGATTTCTGTACTCCGGGCTCAAAATCTCGAAAATGAAATGGTGAGAATGGCAGAGCATCTGTTCCCAGCTTAACTGGCAACGGCTCAAACATCTCTTCCAGTGCTCACCCTCTGCCGTTTTCACCCAAGCGCGCGGCCTGCTACACAACATGCGACCCCTATGAGGGTGCTCGAATTTCAAATTCGATTTCTCAGGCAGCGTTAGCTGCTTCTTCAGCCTTCGATCAGGAGTCCACGATCAAAAGCAAAGTGGAGGTGGAATTCAGAAGGTGACGGTGCGACTAAGTCCTCATAGACCACAGCACGAGGCCTCTTTAAAGGCCACATCAAAGACTTCATCAAAGTGTGTGGCAAAGTGGACCTCAAAGACTTCATTGCCATGGATTGCTTGTCCTTTATTTAGGCCGGGGGGTGGGTAGGCCGGTAAAGGTAGCGAACGTAGAAGAGGTAGCCAGTACCTACAAGTAGCTACTACCGACTGGACACAGGATAGCGAAGACGCTTCTTCAAGGAAAGGCGGCGGGGGGGGGAGCTTCCTTGAAGAAGCGCTCGCACTATTCATTTGGTTCCTCCTGGCCGTACTACTAGGAGCAAGGACGTTAAAGAATGGGACGCGCTCAAGAGCAAGAAAACGGATCTTTCGACCGGAGCACGTTGAGTCCATCCTGGAGGTACTTTGGCAGTTCATCAAAGTCGCGGCCTCAGAAAACGAAAGAGCATGAGCAGCGTGAGCTCATGATTGCTTCAAGAACATGAGCTCATGACTTTAAAGATACCTCTAGGCCACAACAGCTTTCTATTTTGCTCTCCGTCTGAAATCCTCCGGAAAGGTCCTTTACCTCTGTGTGAAGCAGTGGATGTTGCCTTCCAAGGTGTGTCAAACAGTGAGGATGCACGAAGGCCTATGGCTGTCCACCTTTAAGCTATATAAAAATATATAAGCATACCCTTATAGAACAAAGACTTTAAGGAACCTAATGGCGATGGCCTCCAACCTTTAAGCTAAGCCACGGTTTGCCTCTGGGAAGATCAGTGTCTTGCAACCCGCCCGCCGAGCAGCTATTGTCTTCTCCTGGAGCGAATGGAGAGCAACACTGCAATTTACCTAAGAGTTCGCGTGGATGGTTTTGTCCAAGACTAGGATGGGTATAGTAGCATTCTTGGGATGCATCTCAGAAAAATATCTTTGGAGTGTCCTTCCTTCTAAGTCTACGATTGAAATCACTGAGAGGCCAAGTCTACGCTTGGCTGTGCCGCTCTCCGCCAAGCACAAATGTCTCCTTGATACCACCCACGGCCAGCACCTTACCATTCAGTGAAACCTGCGAGCCATCGAATTGCAAAGCACGACAGCGAAAAAGAAAATCTTTGCACTTTCCCAGAAAGGAGTCTGGTGGACTTTACTATACACTTTAACAGAAATGCTTTCTTATATAGAGAAAAAAAAGGAAACAAAATAGCAATGGCCTCCAACCTACTAGCAATGGCCTCCAACCTAAGAGCGATGGTCTCCAACCTAAGAGCACTCTGGTGGACTTGACAAGAATGCTTTCTTAAAAATCATAAAGCTCAGAGCAAAAATGCTTCTACTTTACCTCCTTTTCTTGGTCTCCTGAAAGCAAATGAATCATTAGAAACAAGAAGCTAGTAGTAACAAGTGCATCGCTACTGGTAACAAGTGCCTTACTAGTAGTAACAAGAAGCTACTAGAAACAAGACAGCGGCAAACGAACACTCTTCGGCCTCTCCAGTCATTGCCAAGTCTGTCGGGATGGGCTTCTTCATCGCAAGCGACAGCAGTGCGGTTGTCATGGTGACACCTGCCTTGGCAAAAGTCTTTTTGCCTAGGCTTCACTTAAGGTTTCTTGCAAGGTGTTCTTAAGGAGGAAGGAAGTCTGGTTTGTAGCAGGGGAGTGTATTCCCTGAAAGCGTGGAAGGACGTGGAACGACTGCGCTTGATAAGAAAGGCCTTGGACTCGTTTGGAACGCCCCGACTGTCGCTCGGAAATGGACATGACTATCCAACAAGGACCCTATCCCTCTTTGTCATGTCCTTCGTTATATCCTTTTTGGCCCGTCCTTCCTCTCCTTTTGTTCTTCCTGTTTTGAAAAAAGAACCCTTCCGTCCTTGATTAAGAGCACTCCTTTGGCGTGCGTTGCAAATTGTTTAGCCACGCTGCTGATGGCCCGTCCTTCGGTGTTGCACCCTCTGGACAGTGAAGGAAGAGCTCATGCTCCTGCAGTGCCCAACATAGCGAGCTCGCGACATGAAAAACGGGTTGCCTGAGGTGGAAAATGACTTCTCTTCGGCTGCAAGGCTTGGAAACTGCTTTGATACTAGAAAGCTTTATTGTTACGAGTAGCGATGGCCTCCACCCTAGTAGCGATGGCCTCCAACTTAACAGCGATGGCCTCCACCTAGTAGCTTCTAGTTACTAGAAGCAAATACTTCTCTTGGTTTTCGAAGCCGCCCTGCCATACAAAACGGCACGTGTTTAAACGAAGAAGTAAGACGGCGAGTCCTCAAAGAAGCCATCCTTCCCTCGTGCTTGCAGTTGACGACGAGCTACCAACAAGGCAATCTGTGAGGATTCCTGGCAAACTAATTGAGCAGTCAACTGACCAAGAGACATAATAAGAGAATGTATGTTGTACAACCTAAGGCCAACACCTAAGGCCTTTAGAAGCCTACAGAGACAGCGCTCTGCTAAATTCACGACTGATTGCCAATCTTGTAGGCAGCTTCTTTGTCACATTGCTCTGCTGTGCTCAATTTGGCTTTGATGGATCCTTGCTTTGTCTCTGCTCCCAACACTCTATTTTTTGCAACGCACATTCCCCGCCTTCATCACGTTGCCCAGCTGACCAGTAACTGCTAACATAGGGGGTGCAGTTGCTGGCTTGTCTGGATCACTGCGACGTCGAGCGAGTGCAGTAGCTTCCTCACAACACAGTTGCCGGTCCATGGATACAGGACAAATGGGCACTGAAAAAAAGAAAAACTGCTTCATTGGCTTTCTGCAAACATGTGAAGCTTCTCACCAAGCAACAATATATAGCACAGAGCCGCCCATGGCAGTCCATGCGAGGCCCGTGACTGTGCCAGAGGGCAACTGGCCTTCGTAGAGGCGGTCAGAGGTGAAAACCTCAGAAGAAACGAACATGGAAGAGAAAGAGAGAGAAAGAGAGAGCACGCTACGAACGAGGCTCCTGGCCTTACTACTGGGAACAAGGACGCTACTAGGAACAAAGGGCATCGCTACTAGGAACAAGAACGCTACAGTACTAGGTGCTGAGAGACAGACACAGAGACAGAGAGGGAGACAGAGAGACAGAAAAGAAACAAGAGGAAGGCACAAATACGACAAAGAGAAATAGAATCCACGCGAATTCAGGCGAGCCACCGGTTTGCCCACATATTCACTCAAAGATGCTTCATCCACCCGCAGCTCAATGACTTCAGACTTTGAAGGATCTATCGCATCCCCCGTCGCATCTGTATCTTTGGAGGAAGTGCCTTGACCTTAGGTGGCACGTGGTGGCACAAAACTCTTGGCCAAGCATGTTGCTTCACGTTTGGTCTAGAGGTTGGATGTTGACACCTGACATGTTCAGAGTTTAGATGGACATTGTCAACTGGCACGAGTATCATAGAGAGCGAAAACCTTTAGGCGCGCCAAACGCCATGTTCAAGTACGGTCAAACTGCTTGACATCTTGTTCCAGTACAACCACTCAAAATCAAACTACTTGTAAGCTTCCCTAAAATCTAGGAACCAAATGAATAGTGCGAGCGCTTCTTCAAGGAAGCTGCAGCCCCCTGAAGAAGCTTGAGCTATCCTGCGTCCTAAGTAGTAGCTACTTGTAGGTAGTAGCTACTTAGCTTCCACTAGCTACCTCTACCTAGCTACCTCTACGGCCTCCCCCGTTCAAAAAGTAAAATAAAAACTCTTCTCTCCCAGGTCACTCTTATCTTCCCACTTCTCCACCACTTTTGTGGCCAACTTTCGGCAAATCCGCTCGATATGTTTTTGGAGGTTTCGCACACCGGCCTGCGAACACAGGAGAACATCTCTGCTCGGTGGCTTCGGTTCCGGTCTCTGCTCGGTGGTCGGTGCCTCTCTGCAATACCAGCGGATGAGTGACTCGATGGCACCGGTCTCAATCTCTGCCTGTATCGTTCGTCAACATCGTTGTTTTGTCATACTCGGACAAGGTTTGACCCCAAACAAACCACTAGGAACAAAGGGCATCGCTACTAGGAACAAAGGGCATCGCTACTAGGAACAAGGACGCTACTAGGGGCTCCTGGCCTTACTACTAGGAACAAGAAGCTACTAGGAACAAAAAGACTCGGAGAGACCATTTCCGAGGAATCGAGCTTGACAAATGATTGAGGCACCTTCACCTCTGGCTTCAGTTGCTTTGGCTCTGCCTTCACTTCGGGTTCTGGTTCTGGTTCCTGGCATCTTGAACTTCGAGTAGTTGTGCTTGCAAAAAGTGTTCTAAAGTGTTCTGACCACCTCTCCCCTTTTGCAACAACATTGACAAGGCGGAAAGAAACGTGCGACTTCGGCCTGCGGTTTGGCATCCTCAGACTTTTCGACTTCTTCAGCCACCTTCATGCGAACCCTTTGTCGATGTCCTCTTTACCATCTAGTAGAAATGCCCTTGTTACTAGTAGCTTCTTGCTCCTAGTAGTAAGGCCAGGAGCTACCAGCTACTAGTAGGCTTCCTTGCTCCTAGTAGCGATGCCCTTTGCTACTAGTAGCTTCTTGCTACTAGTACCCCTACGAAATCAAGAATGCATGTTCTTTAAATCTATTGCTTGAGATAATTTTCGTCTTTCTCGTTTGGTTTGTTCTTGCTTTTCTTTAGACCTTTAGGACTTGTTTTTCCCCTTGTGCATATTTTATCTTTCTTCTTGCTACCCTCTTGAATGCTTCTTCTTGCTCCTCCTAGGTCCCGTTCGGTCGTGGCTGAATGTGTGATGTGCCTTCACAGTGCGTCATTTCCGATGTCACGTACCTTGCCTTCTGTACCTGTACCTCGCTTTGAGCCTCGGCTTTCTTCTGCTTCAATCCCACCTGTCACTGTGCAAGCATTTTCAGGAATGCATCCCAACTCCATGTTTTCGTAGATGTCCGTTTCGATCTTTCTCGGCCTCTACCATAGCATTTGGCACCAAGTATTGTTCCGCAATCTTCATCTTTTCTTGTAGATCATATCCTGAAAAGCCAGGAACCAAGATTTGTGCACCAGAAGTTCCTTTTCGCTCCAGTCTTTCCAGAGCAGTCTTGGTCTTCCGGTGCCTGTGAGGCGGATCACCTCCATTCGATCTAACAAAGGTCCTGATGAAAACGACGCAAGCACGGCGCGACTTGCGGCGAGTCGCGGAGCTGTCACGGGACTAGAGCCTTGTTCCACCTAGAAGCAATGGCCTCCAACCTACTAGCGATGGCCTCCAAGGTGTACAGAAGCTCCAGTTGTGACATACAGAAACTGTGTTGACCAATTGAAAGGCCCTCTTTGATTGTACGCACCCGTCCTGGGATGGTATCGAGAACGTTGGCGGTGCACACGAAAAGAATGTTGCTGCCTGATGGCTCCGCAACAAATTTTTGGTCGTCTGGCCAAGGCAGTTCATTCAAGGATGCCTTCCCTTCAAAAGTGCAAGGCAACAACCCCCATGAATCTGAGTCTTGAATTAAATCTCCATGGTGCAGTCGACGGCAACATCCAGGTAGTGATCCATGAAGGCGGAATTCTGTGATGGATCCTAGGTCCGATTCCCTTCAGACTCTCAGACGATCATAGAACAGCCAATCCGTCGAAAAGAAGCCCATCAAAAAGTCAAGTGCCTCAAAGAATTCCTGAAACGTTAGACATTATGACCAAATTCGATATTTTAGGCTCCTTTCGCTATTTGGTTGGAGGCCATCGCTATTAGGAGCAAGGACGCTACTAGGGGCTCCTGGCCGTACTACTAGGAGCAAGTAGCTAATAGTAACAAGAAGCTACTGGGGGCTCCTGGCATCGCTACTAGGAGCGATCGGACGCTACGAACGGGGCTCGTTGGGTGCTGAAAAAGAAAAGATGGAACTAACGGCGCCCAAGAGTCCAAGAGCTCCAACAGGGCTGAGGAGGGATCACCATGGTGGCCCCGGCCAATCTTGTCCACCTGGACGGGACTTGCGTTTGGCACACATGTTTTCTAGTAGTGTCCGATCGCTCCTGCTAGCGATGCCAGGAGCCCCTAGTAGCGTCCTTGCTCCTAGTAGTAAGGCCAGGAGCCCCTAGTAGCGTCCTTGCTCCTAGTAGTAAGGCCTGGAGCCCCTAGTAGCGTCCTAAATCCAGTCGTTGATGCGTTCATATTGTCTCACATTTGTTCACATTGTTGCCATTAGAAGACTGTCGATGTTAACAATGTCTTCTCGGATCTTATCAAAACTGCTGATCGATTTCTTTCCGCTAATGAGTTGTGCAACTTGTGCGCCTCATCGATGAGGACCAACGGATTGGAGGTCTGCACCTTCTTCAAGCATTGAATGATCTTCCCAGGCATCGCCCCAACCTGAAGGCCATCGCTAGGAACAAGGGCATCGCTACTAGGAGCAAGGATGCTACTAATAGCTCCTGGCATTACTACTAGGAACAAGAAGCTGCTAGTAGCAAGGACGCTATTAGGTTGGCTTAGCACTCTTTGGCACTCTTTGGCACTTAGCACCCCACGTAGGTTCTGCGATGTCCCTTGATCTCTGCCACGTCATACAAACCGCCCACGGAGAATCGGTAGAACTCTCTACCCAAGGCCTTCCGACTGCGATCAAACTGTCAACTGCTTAACACGGATTGACGACATCTATCATGAAAAAGCCCCTAGTAGCTTCTTGTTCCTAGTAGTAAGGCCAGGAGCCCCCTGATAGCGTCCTTGCTCCTAGTAGCGATGCCCTTTGCTCCTAGTAGCGTCCTCTATTCATAACATGAAATGCAATGAAAAGTTTGGGGATGCTGGGCTGCTTGAACCGTCCATCAAGACATTGAAGTTCTGTTCCTGTGGAAGTAAAGGACGCAGAACATGTATGATTTCAAACGCAACCGGCCTCAGCAATAGACTTTCCGATGGAGGTCTTTCCTACACCCGGCGGCCCCACGAAGCACAAGATCTTGCCTCATGGTAGTCACAGCCAGTCACAGCACACAAAAGCACTCAGGGAGCACTCACTAACTTCACGATCGCGCGGTTTGCTTGGCGGAAGCTGCACTTGAAACAAACTGCTCCTTAGTCCTTTGAAGAAAGACGTGTTGTTGGTGCGATTCGTGGCCTTGCATGGAGCCACGTAGAACACCCACAGCGATGAACTCCCGGATGCGGTCCTGATGAACAACACCCTGTTCCCTTCATCTCTCGTCATCTTTCATCATCTTTCTACTTCGGGAATACCAAAAAAAGCCTCCCATTTATATACCTGAACACACTGTTGACTTGTATAGTTTATCTCTCTTTTTGCCAACACTTTTTTCCTCACTTGGGCCGAGGCTTGGTGATTCCGTCAACTGATGTGGGACAAAAGCAACAAAACCCAAGACCTCTGTCCTTGATGTCAGCGAGACCATAATGGTCTCGGTCCAAGATCTCGCGGGCCTTCTTCAAGTCAAAAGTATCCTCACGTCACCGCGTCCAAATTGTTCAGGCCGACTCCGAAGAAAAAGGCAACCCAAAGAAAAAACATGCTCTATTTTCTTTTTGGGGGGCGCTCTCCCCCTCCCTACTTAGTTAGGTAGAGACTATCTCTGAATTAAGTAAGGGAGAGGTAGCTAGTGCATGCTAGTACCTTACTTAAGCTACTAGCATGGACGCAGGATAGCTCACGCTTCTAATTCATTTGGTTCCTAGAGTTTTTGGGAAACTGAGTGTTCCTAGATGTCAGTCAAAAGCCTCCAAAGTCCTTGCTGTACACGCTCCAAGGCATGCTGCTGAGCCAATCCAAATAGTTCCGAGTCATCTGGTACTCTTGGGACTCCTAGGAGCAAGGACGCTACTAGAAGCAAAGGGCATTTCTACCAGTAACAAGAAGCTACTAGGAACAAGTGCATCGCTACTAGGAACAAGTGCCTTACTAGTAGTAACAAGAAGCTAGTTGATTTGTTAACTCAAACAAAAGTGGCGTTCCAGGACCACGCATTTCGGAAAGCAACGCGACAACTCGTGTTCGCCCTCCTTCGCCAGGTTCGCAAACTTCTCGAACTCCGTGTCAATGGCCTGCGGGTTTGCAGAGCGTGGACGCCACAAAATGGATTTGACCCAGAAGCGTGCTTGGGCAAGAAGCTACTATTTAGTAGCTCCTGGCATTACTACTAGGAACAAAAGGCTACTAGGAACAAAGGGCATCGCTACCAGGAGCAAGGAAGCTACTAGGGGCTCCTAGCCTTACTACTAGTAGCAATGTTCGCTACTAGTAACAAGAAGCTACGAACGTAGCGATGAAATCCGCCTCCTTCGCTTCTTTGGGCACTTCCTTTCCCTCTAAGCGCTCCTTAAACTTCTGCAAGATCGTCTCCTTAGTGTCTCTCCGTCCCTGAGTTCACCCCTTTGGGTCTTTCCGAAAAAAGGCTCAAAAATATCTCCGCTGGCCTTGTGATCCGGTGTTGGCCTATACTAGTAACAAGAAGCTATTAGGTGGGGGCCATCGCTATTAGGTTGGAGGACATTACTAGCAACAAGAGGCTACTAGTAGCAAAGGGACTCTCACAAAATGTGGATCTCTTTTGGCTGCCAACTCAATCTGAAATTCTGCACTTCAGAGTCTCTGATTCGCTACTAGGAGCAAGGACGCTACTAGGGGCTCCTGGCATCGCTACTAGGAGCAAGGACGCTACTGGTAGATTAGTAGCTCCTGATTCTTTTACATGATTTGCGTTTCTGCCAAGTCTCCGAACCATCATCTTTGTCGATGCCCAACTCCTTCCTGTTTTTTGACGATTTGACTGGGGATTTTGGGAGCACCTTTTGGTTTTGGTATTTTTTTCTCGTGTTCGAACCTCTACACTTCTAGTGTGCATTTGGTCGTTAGTCAAGTCCACCACAGCACTTCCACAGCAACCCCTGCGGGCGGCGCTTGATGCTCTTCAGTTGTTCTCTCAGCATGAACTCTCGCTGGTTCTTGGACATCTTCTCCTCGATGCGGCTTGCCACAGTAAGAGTCAACCGTTGCCCGATCCGCCCGCTCGGTCGAGAGGATGGTTTCACGAATTGGCTGATTCACGGCCTGGCCTCAATTTGGTTGGAAATCTTCTGCTGCAGCTTGGCAACTTCCAGCTCTTTCTTCAAGAGTTCCAGGGCAAGCCTCTAGAAAATTGCAGATTTTGTCTAAGAATGTTCCGAAGAATACATCTGATCTGTCCTGTCAGTCCTAGAAATGTCACCAACAAGAAAACATGCCAGCAAATTGGTGAATCTATATTATGAATTGTGTTGTCCTCTTCAGTACAAAGTTGTGGCCTTAATTTGTCCAAGGGGTTCGTGGCATCTAGCACCTGAGGAGCGATTGCCGATGTGAACCGGTCGGCTGATGTGAACCGGTTGGAACTTTCATGCCCCACTTTCATGCCCTTTGAGCTTAAAGGTTCGACTGAAAGTCTGTCTTACATGCTTTACATGTGTTAACAGAATGTGCAGATTCTGTGCTCATCAAGACATCTCCCAAGTGCCCGCTGAAGCTCCGCTCCCTCCGCAGTGGTGAGGGAAGCCGCCAAGTGTGCCACAGCATCGGGCTGCACCCGAGCGTTTCGCTGCTGAAGCGACTGGTTCACATACTGGGCATGCTCCCCTCGATCAGACAGCACGGCACGGGCCGCACGGGAGAAAGCGAGGCTTCGCAAGGCTTCGCAAGGACGGAAGAATCCTGAGAGGCCAGCTGAAGCTTGAGCTCACTTTCATGATCTCCTGAGGGGTTCGGAAGACAAACGAACACAAGCGATGAAAGAAGGCTTCCATACTTCCATGATGTAATAACCTGCATATTGCAAGCTCTGCAAACAGTGCACTCCTGCACAGTCAGGATAGTTTCGTTCATGGTGGCTCTCACCATCTCATCCTGTCACACACGATTTGGCCCCAAACATCTCTATGATTCCATCATCGCTTTCATTGGCACTCAAGAATCGCGCGTTCGCTGGAGCAGACGCATTGCAAGAGCTGGAGTCCGACTTGTCCTTACCATCCCATTCTTCCGGAGTGATCTGGGCGATCTGCACCTGGCAAAGAATAAGCAGATCGGTTCTTTTTTTTTTTTCGAGAGGTTCTCGCACCTGAAGCGGTGGCCCTTTGTTCAAGACCTTCTCCAGTCGTACAACTCCTGCACCTCAACTCGTAGAGTTGGCCAAGCTGTGCATAAAACGCCCCAAACTCGCAATCGAGGATATCACCTTGCACAAGCATCTGCACTGCCACCACCTCTCCGTCCTTTGGAGACCAAACAGGCACTGCCTCGGTCCAAACAGAATGTCTGTGGATCGGTGGACCTTTCATTCTTCCACTAGTAGTAACAGGTGCCACGCTAGTAGTAACAGGTGCCTTACTAGTAGTAACAAGAAGCTACTAGAAACAAGAAGCTACTAGGAACAAGTGCCATGCTAGTAGTAACAAGTGCCACGCTAGTAGTAACAGGTGCCTTACTAGTAGTAACAAGAAGCTACTAGAAACAAGAAGCTACCAGGAACAAGTGCCATGCTAGTAGTAACAAGTGCCACGCTAGTAGTAACAGGTGCCTTACTAGTAGTAACAAGAAGCTACTAGAAACAAGAAGCTACTAGGAACAAGTGCCATGCTAGTAGTAACAAGTGCCACGCTAGTAGTAACAGGTGCCTTACTAGTAGTAACATCCTCCTGAACTGCATTCTTCCTTGCTCTACAGCCCTGGAATACGGCGTCAACGAATGTTCACTCCCTCTCTGCCCACCCTGCTTGCGCCTGCGCGACGCGACCAATGGTGCCCACGTTGTGCAGGACTTCCATGGGGTCTTCCCCGCTCATGTCCTGTCAAAGCCCAAAGAAGCCGACGTGGCTGGATAGGAAAGCAAAAGAGTTCCAAGCACGAGCTTCTCACAAGCACGAGCTTCTCACGAGCTTCTCACGAGTTATCGAGTTGAGTTTCCCCTTTTGTGTCCTCCAGTTTGGCTGAGGGCAACAAATCCTCTTCTTCGCCTTCCTGGCGGAGCATCTGAAGATCATATCTGAAGTTTGAGAAACTGACTTTACAAATTCGTCTGCCTTCGGCAGCTCATTAGGCATGCTCTTGCGGAGGAAAAAGCCAATATGAGTCCTAAGCTGCAAAGAAATGAATGATCCTGTCCCCAAGGAGAATCATCCTGTCCCCAAGTCGCTGGCATTTTCTTAGAATTCTCTGTAAGGCTCAGGATCTCCTGGTGTCAAACACATTGTTCTCAGAGACATGCCCGAATCACAAGAGCGAGCTCTGTCTGGTCTTTTCCAATTCATCTCCTTCGCAATCTTCGGCGAAGTGATCTGGCAGGGCGTATCGAAATGGCTTTGCCAACGGATCGATCCAATCGATCCCCATGTTCGGCACAACACAAACACCGACAGCAACCGACAGCAGCACCTGGATGAGCTGGTTGTGCCAAGGAAAGAGGGGCCTAACAGTGGCCAGTTTTTATTTCGCTCCTTTGTTTTGCGTAGAGTGGCAAATGCTGCACGTTAAAAGGCAGCTCCGCGCCTTCCAAACAGAGGCAGTGCCATGCAGACAGGCTCAAATCCTGGACACCGGCAGAGCATACGACGACGCAATGCGAATCTGCCACAATGGACCGAACGCTTGAAGCAGCTCGCTCCTGATGAGTCTTTCCTGTCAAAGCGCGGAAAGCGAAGAAAAACATGCTCTCAAAACCGAAACCGCAGGGAATTGTTTCGAACTGAAGATTTGTTCAAGCTTCAAAACGCAAGATCTGTTCGGAAGCGACCAAAAACCTTATGTCTACTAAACTGATATTCCTTCCCTAAGCTTTCTAACCCCCCTCTACTCCACCCTGCACAAAGAGAAGAACATATAACACAGGTCTTCATCTGTTCTGAAGCACGAAGCTGCACATTGCGAAAACGCTCACAAACGAGCCCATTCCGCCTCAGGTGCCCGTCCTGCTTGACAGGTACGATTGCGCCCTCCTGGACAGTTGGATCAACGAATCTGGGGATGCCCCACAGGTTCAAAGTTCAAAGCACAAATGAAACCAACGGAACGGAAGACCTCTGAAGGCCCTGCCGCACTGGGGTTTGGATCTTGACAGATTTCCCGATTCTAGGTCGCTAGAAAGCAGCCGAGCGCTTTGGAAAGGCCATGGAGTTCCTTTATAGCCTTCGAAAGTTTGAACATTCATACCCCTTGACTTGCATGTTGGTAAATTGGAATTTCCACACTTCAAAGACGCATGGTTTTAGGCTTCAGGACATTTCTGATCGAAACCTAACAGCTATTCAGCGATTCTGTTTGGAACATGAAATGCGAATCAACCGCCACAAGAAAGAAATTGAAAGAGATTGTTTTTTCCTTTTCTTCTAGCGGGCAGAAACATTCTGAATTAGCGAAGTAAACTGAATTCCTGCACCCCAAATGAATTGTCTTTAGGGGAGAACAGGCGCTCGGCTCGGCTCCCACCAAGCCCGCCCTCGGCTCACCAAACCCTCCAGGATGAGCCTGTGCTGCTGCGCTGGTTCCTGCTGAGAGAACAGGACCAGTCGGTAGTGCATAGCTTTCAGGTCGCTGTCTACAAACAGCACAGGACGTTTTCTCCCGGGTCTCCGGCGTTTACTTTTTCGACCACTTTGCCTGTGCAGGATGGATGATGTGATTGCCCGCGGCGACACTACGAAAGCAAGAGTCTCCTTCGTGTGAACGTGTGAATACTAGTAACAAGGTGCATCGCTACTAGTAACAAGGACGCTTCTAGGGGCTCCTGGCATCGCTAATAGGAGCAAGAAGCTACTAGGGGGTCCCGGCCTTACTACTAGTAACAAGGACGCTATTAGTAACAAGGGCATCACTACTAGGATCAAGGACGCTACTCGTGAATCCATTAGCGAATCAAGAAGGCCCGAGTCGGTCCGTGGGTCCGTGCCTCTCATCGGTTGAGCTCTCGCTCGTGCCCGTGGATTCTGGCACATCTCCTGCGAACTCGAACGAAACAAAGACGGATGTTTCCAGCTGGTCGAGTAGCCAGCTTGCCTGCTTGCCCTGCCCGGCCCGCTCTTAGGCAGCTTAGGCGTAAGCCCTTAAATAGCAATGGCCTCCACCTAGTAGCGTCCTTGCTAGTAGCGATGCCCTTGCTACTAGTAGCGAGGGCCTCCAAACAGAGACGGACCTTTCGTCCAAAAACGAACCAAATCCGCGCGACCTTTTTTTCCATCGTCACCAGAGTTCGACCTGAGTTCTGCAGAATATGAGTTCTGTAGTTCTTGGATGAAACATGACATGCAAGGCACAGTTTTGAAGCTTGGCTCAAAGACCAGAGCTAGTAGCGTCCTTGCTCCTAGAAGCAAAAGAGTTGGCCCTTACAGACTAAAAAGATCCAAAAACCAGCGGGGAGCCTCCAATCCTTTATTACAATCCAGAGGTGTGATGAAATCCATTCGACAGCGCTCCAAAGTCCAGGCCATCGCTAGTAAGTTGGAGGCCATCACTATTAGTAACAAAGCAAAAAGAAAAGGAGGAAAGATCTATTATAGTTTGCTTCTAGGAGCAAGGACGCTACTAGGGGCTCCTGGCATCGCTACTAGGAGCGATCGGACGCTACTAGTTTGCTATTAGGTTGGAGGCCATCGCTTTGCGACCCAAAGGTCGATGAGCATCTGACGACCAGCCAAAGAAGCGTCGTGTCTGCAACAGGGCTGGCAAGGCATCCTGAAGCATGGACAAATGACAAAATTCCCGGGTGGAAAGAGGAAGAAACAGAAAACATAGATAAAAAGAGACGAAAATCTCCTCACAAGTAAAACCTGTTTTGTTTAGGTGATTAAAGATGTCTGGCCGGCCCTTTCTGACACCTCTGTCCTGCCGGAGCTGCCAGGTGGATCGCGCCTGCCTCATGTTTTTGCTCGTGCAAATGGAATCTGTTACTACTAGCGTGGCACTTGTTACTACTAGCTTCTTGTTACTACTAGTAAGGCACTTGTTACTACTAGCGTGGCACTTTGCATAAACAAGCAACTCAAAAGTTCATAAAGATCGTTTGCTGAACTGATCGATGAAGTCCTGTTTGGTCTAAGGGTTCCACAGGGATTGCGAACGCAAGGCCTTCACCTTATGGATCGGAGAAAAAGCTGTTTCAAGACTCAAGACGGATGATGTTTCCAGCTGATCGAGTACTAGCGATGGCCTCCAACCTAAGAGCAATGGCCTCCCAGCTTCACCATGTTTTTTTCAAGACTTCCAGGTGCAAATCTCCTCTCGCACATCACAACGCAGCTCTTTTTCGCCCATGAGCAAGGCAACCCAGAGCCGGGCACACAACGACTGCGTCACCGTCATAGATCCGTCGGAAGCAGAGAGCTAGGCAGAGCTAGGCAGAGCTGGGCAGAGCTAGGCAGAGCTAGGCAGAGCTAGGCAGAGCTCCAGAGTCGGAGAAGCAGGGCATGAAAAGCAAAGTGTGTGATGGAGTGGTGGATCCACAGCAGAGCATGTCTATCTTTCAAGTGGTGGAAGATCCTGGATCAAAACACATCCACGCTGCGTCACCAAACCCAAAGACTCCTTGGCAGCAGTTCCGAAACTTCGCTGCAACTGTTTCTTAAGCAGCACAGTTTTCTAGACTCCTTTTCACCCCCTTTTTCTCGAGAAAAGGAGTCGACTCTCCTTCAAGCCGAGACTCTGCTTGTTTCACGACCATCTCCGCATCAGCTCCGGGTTGCATGAAGACATACCTGAGGAGATCGACTCATGAGACTCTCCCCGCCTCTCTACGGATCTTCGTTTAATTTGCAGTTTGGCAATTAAGTTCACGCTACGACCCGATTAAGCTAGTTTCTAGTAACTGGACGCAGGATACTTCACGCTTCTTCAAGGAAGCTCCTCCCATCTGAGGGCTGGGGGGAGCTTCCTTGAAGAAGCGCTCGCACTAATGATTTGGCTCCGATAGGTTTTGGGAAACTTAACCTTTGGATCCTGCCTGATACCTTTCTTCTTCATCGTGCTGAGCACGTCCATACCAATCTTTGGGGAGATGATAAGGTTCACTGCGTCCACCTGCAGTTGAATCTTCGCAGTCAAGCTCCGCGGACAAGCAGTGACGTTTGGGGAGCAGTGACGTATGTACCACACCTGCTCTGGCACATCTTCCAGCTTCTCATAGCACTTTCCCGTCTTGTCGTAGGGACTCACTTTCATCACACGGCGCCCAGCCTCACAAGTGCTATCATGGCGGTCGAACGCGGTCGAGGAATTCATGTGTTTTGGTTCGTTTCATAAGCACATTTTCCGAAAAACACACATATGAGGAAATCCGCCCGGCTGAGGCGCTGTCTCGGGGCGCATACACCGCTAGAATTGCTAGATAGCACAATAGATTAAGCTTTAGCTTGCTTGGGTGTTCTAGAATGCTGTGGTTTTGAGGTTCTTAAAAACGGACGAAAAATCAGCATGCCATCGATGATGTCGGTTATTCTGCCCCAGTGGGACTGCATTATTGACATCCTGTGTGCTTGCCCCTGTAAAAGACCGACCGACCGACCGACCGAGACAGACAGACAAACAGACCAAGACAAACAAACGCACAGTATCCGTGCAGGCGGCTTCGACCGCGAAGCAGTGTGAATAACAAAACATGAAAGACATGAGGGTTTTTCTGAAGTTGTCGTGTCTGGAAAGTTGTGGCCGGCCCCACAGTGGAACCAAAGTCTCTTCTCGCATGCAACCAGCGTTGTGCGCATGCCCCATGTGCAACCTGCGTTGTGCGCATCTCCATGGCAACCCAAGCTGAAGCGAACTTCCAACATGAACGACAAGTCTTTAAGTTTTAGTCGTGCGTTGCCAACATAGCTGCCCTGAGAGCTTGAAAATAGCAACCTGGAACTGGAACAAAGCAAGCAAGCCCAAGAACAGATTGCAAAGCACCGCCAGTTGCGTTTGCAACTGTTCCTCGAAACACTTCTTTCACGGATTCATTTAGTCTAGGCTTGTTGGCGAACTGATGTTGCTCAGGAGGAGATGTCTCAAGCCAAGTTCTGACCTGGCCCTCTAGCACCTCAAACTCTTCGATCCCCTTCCCTTGCAAGGCGATTGATCGTGGCAGGGTTGGGTCAGGAATGCTCAATGGTTCAGCATTCGCAGGTGTTCAAAGAGCACAGTGGGCTTTGCTCCTTCACGGAGTCACTTGCGCCGGCAGCAAAGGACTCAGGCCATTTTTGGCCCAAAAACCATATATATATAATATAGACCTTCCTCGCTCTCGGTCCTTTTTTTCAATTCTTCATTACTAGTAGCAAGGACACTAGTAGGTGGAGGCCATCGCAAGTAGGTTGGAGGCCATCGCTACTAGTAACAAGAAGCTACTAGATACTAGTAGCAAGAAGCTACTAGGAGCAAAGGACATCGCCACTAGGAGCGAGAATGCTACTAGGGGCTCCTGGCCGTACCACTAGGAGCAAGTAGCTACTAGTCACAAGAAGCTACTAGAAACAAATATCTTTGTTCCGTTCTTCCGTTGCTGTGCGCGACATGAAGAGATTGCCTCCTCAAGGCGGCGGACGACACGAGAGGCGGGCTTCGCTTCGTTGGTGCAGTCCCCCACGACGGCCCAGGTGGCGAGATCACGACCTCGTCTGACTTGCGGAGTCCGGGAGTAGTCCTCCTTTGTCCTACCTACTAGCGATGGCCTCCAACCGAATAGCAAAGGAGCCCAGTTGAGAGTCCAAATAGTCAAGAGTTGGGAGGAACATTCCGATCTTCAGTTCTTGCTACGAGACATGTTCTTGCTGCAAGAGGACTTAGCTACTACTAATACAAAGAAGAAAAATGGTAAGACTATGTAGAAGAAAATTGGTAAAGAAACAAACAGAAATGAAATGTAAGAAGATGTCACGACTGAGAAGGAAGATCTCATGTTGTGGGGAGTCAAGGAAGGGAGAACTCCTCAGGCCAACACCCAAGACAGGGCCGTACTGAAGACAGGACTCCCGGAGTACCTGTCTCAACAGGCAAAAATGAAAGCAACGGAAGAACGGAACAAAGATATTTGCCACTAGTTACTAGTAGCTTCTTGTTACTTGTAGCTACTTGCTCCTAGTAATATGGCCAGGAGCCCCTAGTAGCGTTCTTGCTCCTAGTAGCCATGGCTTCCAACCTACTTGCGTCCTTGCTACTAATAATGAAGCAAACACAAAACTTGAGAATTTGGAAGGGAACCAGAACAAGAGTGCATCCTTGAGGCTTGTTGAAAAAGAAACAAAGGCATGTGTTCAATTTCTCTAGCCAGAAAGAACCAGAGAAATTGGACGCGCCCGGTGCCTCCAAACGGTCAAAGAGCTGCTTGAGAAGCACGGTGGAGAGTCCCATGACGCTGTCCTGGTCGCCTGCGGTTTTGCATCTGCTCCTAGTAGCGTCCTTGCTCCTAGTAGTAAGGCCAGAAGCCCCGTTCGTCTCGTCCGATCGCTCCTAAGTGAGGTTTCGCATCGAAAAAGGATCCTCGAGGACGTTTGACGTCAGGACGTCTGGCTTGCGGCCTTCGATCCTTTCCACGTACTTCTGGATAGTGGGATGCTCAACCATCAAAGCTCCAGCACAATTGAGAAGGCTCTTGTCCGCTGCTAGTTGGTTTAGAACGTCCTGCTTAGGCCCAGGAAGGCAACCAAACAAGAGAACAAAAAGCAACAAAGGATGGTATTTGCAGCTCTTTGAGCTTCCAGGTCCTCATCACCGAGCTCTGCTTTGAAATGGATGGTTGCAAGCTGCGTGCCACTTACCCGCAGATCTGTTGCAGGGTCATGCAAACAAAGCCTGAGATGTCTCGGAAGAGAGCTCTTTTTCATGATCTCTTCAGAGCAGACAACTCCTGATATCTCCACAGCATACAGTGTGTAAAACACCAACTGCTGCCTGGTAGCGCTCCAACAGTGGAGCAACTTCCTCCGGCATAGGACAAGAGAAAGGTACGCGCCTGAGTGCGTCTGTTTCACCTTCAGTGTAGAGCTTTCTCATCCTCTTTGTCCATCCACACTCAAACCTTTCAGATCAGCAAGTGCCTCCTTTAAGTCTCCTGGCTTTTCGCGGATGGTTCCCTTGTACGTCACCACCTGACACAACAGGAAGAATATCTCAGAATTCCAAAGATGTTCAGACATGCCAATCGAGCTCACTCTGCCATTGCTCAGATAAACTAAACTCTAAGACCGACATGTTTAAATTGCTCAAGGATGAACGCAGTTGAACATGTTTGAGCGGGTGACTACAAACTACACCGGTTGAACTGTTGACCACAAAGAATGAACAAACCTCCAAACAGGAAGCCAAAGATCACAATCACAAGCACCATAAAGCTCTTCAACTACAAACACATGAAGTTCTTCAAATCTCCTCCAACTCAGCGACTACGCCTGGTCAGCAGTCAGAAGAAGTTGGCGCTTCTCACTGTGCTTCAAAGACGAGAGCAGAGCCTCAAGTGGAATCAATCAAGAAGAAACTGAATCGAAAATTCAAACCCTTGAAAATGAATCTGTTTCTTCCATGAAAAGACGACATGTTGCCAAAAACAATGCATTTTGAGCTAGGATACATCGGCCTTTGCTTGCGCTAGCAAATGTACCAGCTGTTCTGCATCTTTGGCTCTGTCTCCTAGGCTCCTTTCATCAATACCTGGTGCTCGCACTTGGAATGTCACACCTCAGAGTTCGCAGATGCGAAACGAGATGCCAGCAAGAAGCACTCAAGAAGTGCTTGGTTCTTCCAAGCTTTCACAAGATTGACATGGAAAAAAGGCACTTTGAAGAAGAAAAAACAAAGAACAAAGCACTTTGGAAAGAAAGGTCCAAAGAAGAAATGGCAAGAAAGGGCCCTCCCGCACCGCTGCCTGCAGCCTCAAGCAACTGTCGCCGCACCTCGCTTCCAGAGCCCAGCAGAAGTGGAGGCATAGAAAGCGGGACCACCACCGAGTGCCTGGCCGATGAGAGGTGGAACCGGAATGGCCAGCCCTGTTCGGAGCGTCCCTTTGCTCCGTTCGTAGCGATGCCCTTTGCTCCTAGTAGCTTCCTGTTCCTAGTAGTAAGGCCAGGAGCCCCTAGTAGCTTCTTGCTACTAGTAGCTTGACCGCTCTGTATGTGCAAGAATTGCACCAATTGTTTTCCTTGTGGACTTGCATTCGGAGCACGTGGCCAAGGATGTTCCCAAACTCAGGCCAGCACAAATCCGCAGCTTTGGCCATACCTCGCATTTGTGGTCTCTCAAATGAACATGGAACATGGCAGGACTCAAAAAGAAGCTGCCAAAGCACTTCGGCGGAAAGCTCCAAGCAGCCACACTGATCCACAGGCAAAGGCCAAAGGTCGTCCACTTGGGCCAATGTTGCCCTTGCTGGCCTTGCCAATTCATTTGCAAAAACTGCAGAATTGGACGACTTATGCAACGCAATGGAGACTGACAGACTAGTTCACTAGCAGCTGCGCAAACAAGCCCTATGGGGCTATCAGACTTCGCCCAAAAAGGGCAATACACAACAAAGGAAAGCAGGAGAACTTGGCATGTAACGAATGCAAAGCCGCCCTCCTTGCCTTACTACTAGAGCAAGGACGCTACTAGGGGCCCCTGGCATCGCTACTAGGAGCAAGGACGCTACTAGTAACAAGAAGCCACTAGGGGCCACTGACTCGCCACAGTGCCACCCTAATTCTTCACACCTGGTGCTTCTTCAGCGCCGGCAGCGGCCAAGGCAGCGGCAAAGGCGCATTGACAGGGGAGGAAAGGCTTAGCATAGAGTCGTAAATGAGTGCTGCTGGACACTTTACACACCACTCTATATCATGGCTTTTGAAAAAAGTGCATTTTGCGGAACAGTTGGCTTCATCTCAATATGGTGCTCAGCAAGTCTCTGCGCTTGTTCTTCAAGTAGCAATGGCCTCCAGCCTAGTAGCGATGGCCTCCACCTAATAGCGTCCCGGCTACTAGTAGCTTCTCGTTCCTAGTAGTAATGCCAGGAGCACTAGTAGCTTCCTTGCTCCTAGTAGCGATGCCCTTGTTCCTAGTAGTTTCTTGTTCCTACTAGCGATGGCCTCCACCTAGTAGCTCAGCAAGTCTCTGCGCTTCTTCTTCTTCTTCAATCATGGTCTGGGTCGCAAATGGCAACGGAGAAATCGCAGCTTGTTCCTGCTCGTTCACCGGATGCGTCACGCAGGCTGAGCCACCCGACCAGACCCAGACTGATGCGAGACATTTAAAACAGTTAAGGGAACGTCTGCTTTTCGGGGTCGTCTGAGTGCTGCTATGTGTCTGTCTGACCTGTCCATTCACTACGACTAAGTAACTAAGTTTCACAAGGGGAATCGATGCTGCCCAAAATATTCAAGCTTTGTGTGAAGTAAATCTGACGTCCCAACCACAACAATTTGAGCCGAAACCGCGGCAAGAGAATTACCCGAAAGTGTCGGCAATATGCAAAAACTCAAATCTGCCAACGGTTTCCTTGGTCTCAAACGTGTTTCAGATGCGGCAGCCCACCCCCGCTGCCTCAAATAGAGAAGAGAGCATCAGTCCATGGAGATGCCTTCTCGTCTCACTGGTCACGTGACAAGTCAATGACGTCCAGATTTGGTGAGATTCTAGAACGCACGCGCTCAGAGGTCATTCGAACCTCACACCAAAGTGTCTGACATACCCCCGGTATGACAAAGCTGTCGATAGATTGTTTATCCCTCCAGGGAGCACTTTCCAAAAACCTGCTGATACTGTTACTTGGTTGAGCGTTTCTTTTCAGAGTGAGCACATCAGCTCTGGCTCACACAGACCGCAGCGGTTTTTGCACAGGAAATCTCACGCACATGTTTGGATCTTTCTGCGTTTTCGCACTGCCAAGAGCAGACGAGACACCTTTTCGCACTTCTCAGCTTTGCTTTGGCTAGCACTGGCGACTGGGCATTCTCTAGATCAGTCCGCGCAACAGCTTACAAGGGCATGCAGTGGCCAAACTCAACCACTCACCTAAGCGGTTTGCAATCCAACCACCCACTGCGGTGGCTCAAATGGTGAACTTCACTCCGGTGGCTTCCTCGCTGGTGCGCCAGAGCATCTCCATCGCCTCTAACCATCATGGTTACCATCATGGAAGCCATTTTCCAAATGACTTGTGTCTTGGACTTGTTCATGATTTATATAGAGAACCAGAATTGAAATGAAAGTCTTAGTATTATCCATTTGCAACTTGTACCCCTGGTCGATCCTGGTCAAAAAGATTTTGGTGAGTCATCACCATCTTCGACCACGGGGTTGGCTTCATGCCCATCCAAAACCACCACAAGCGAGGCCTTCTGTTTCCGGCCGCTCTTAGGCAGGTCTCGCGCCTTGGGATCAGTCTCGTAGGGTTTCGGAGGGTTTGGCACTGCCAAGCCTTTCCTGAGCGCTTGTCCAAACCGCCCTTGGCGGTTGACCCAATCATGTTCATTGAGATTAAAGTATGACCTCTGTGTGTATGTGTAATAATCAAAGGAAGCTTAGTGTACGAAACTTCCGTGTTACGGACATTCAAGAACTGTTCATACACCACTCATCAATACACCACTCATCAATACACCACTCATCATACACCACTCATCATACACCACTCGTCATACACCACTCCTCATACACCACTCATCATACACCACTCATCAATACACCACTCATCATACACCCCTCATCAACACACCACTCATCATACACCACTCATCATACACCACTCATCATACACCGCTCATCATACACCACTCATCATACACCACTTATCATACACCACTCATCATACACCACTCATCATACACCACTCATCATACAACAC